CAACCCCAAAGAACACTTCAGCTGCCACTGGCCAACAAGTAGTCTCACAACCAATCCCCTTACACACTCCCATTTTACCTGTGCCACAACCACCTTACAGAGATGAGAGGGCATAAAAACCAATCTCCCCAACTCCAAACAGGTTCTACAGATCCCAAAGGACCAGCCACAGTCCCAGATCAGTTTATACCTCAGATCTTACCCAAAAGAGCATGCTGGGCCAATCTTTTAGAATCTAAAATCGAAAGAGTTATTAATGAAAAGAAAAGGCTGAGAGCAGAATTGTTAAAGAAAACACAGGACACATCAATCACCAAGTTCTTGATGCAGGCTCGTAGCCGTGATATAATAAACTGCTAGCTTAAAAGTCTCTGGAGTACATCCTATGTTAGGGTGGGTTAACAAATCCTTCCAGGCCCTATGTTCATAGCAAGGATGCTTCTGAAGTCAAGAGCAGGATTGAAGACAATGGAGAAACCCCTAAAGCCCCTTTTATCATCTGGCCTACATGGCAGGAAATCCATTATTCTCCTGTGTGATGGTACCTTCCAAAATGGAGTAGCAGGTTTAAAACTAATAAAAGAAAGTTCTTCTTCACACAGCGTGTTGTCAACCTATGGAACTCCTTGCCAGAGGAGGCTGTGAAGGCTAGGACTATAACAGAGTTTAAAGAGAAGGACCACTCTCCATGAAGCTATCCACTGAGTAGCCACCCCCACAATAGGTGGGCAATATCCGCTGCTGTCTCTCAGGCACAAACATTTAAAATACAACCACAGAGCCAACACCCAGAACTTCACATATAAAAACCATACATGCATACGAGTAGCACGAACAGAGTCAGCAAAGCATCAGCTTTCAATAGACACCTCACTGGGCCCACTTTGCACAGAATTTGGGGCAAACACAAAACAGTGGGTGCAACAACGATCTGCACCTTCCTACTGAAATCCAATAACGTCACACAGGGCCTCCAATACAAATCCGTCTTCAGCCAATGTGACAATCAATGGAGACATAGCTGTGGCAGTTATTCCATTTGTTTTAGGCACTTCCCTTCTTCAGAACAAACATCTCTGAATTACTTTCTGGAACATGGCAGGATACAATTGTTTGCACCATGCATCATAAAGAGCAGCAAATAGGGATGTCTACAGTTCATGCTGCCTCGTGTTTAAGACTTGTGCAATCGATAACAACGTGGGTGATTCAAAGATTCTTGGGAACAGCTGAATTGTTTCACCTGAAACTTGCCCACAGAATTCATCACAAAGCAAACACCCAGCATGGAAAAGGTCAGCCAGCCTGACCAGTTGTAATTTGGCAAACACTCTTACAACTCTTTAGGTATTGCTCTTGTATTATAAGTTTCCAGTAAAGTCACACGAGGACTAATACTAATGCTTGATTTTCTCCCTCAGTTACAAGGAAAGTATGGTATATGGGAAAGTGTCATAAAAACACAGTCACTTAGAATTGTTATGATTAAAGAAAGACTACACAACATGCAGGCCCCATTTAAGTTAGTTCTGCTGATATTACTAAAATGCAATATTTACCCCATTTCCACCCATATGACAGCACTTTTAATGAGCAATGACAGTCCAGGAATTTAACTACTAAAACGCATCTCAACAGAAGACCATTATATTGACTATTTTTTTTGTTTTGGCTCCCATCCGCAGGCCGTGTGTTGAGTAGCCCTGGGTTAAGATGCTCTAGTGTCTCAGGACAATCTTCCTATCTGGAAGAAGCATAAGACAATGCAACAGGCTGCCTATAGAGGTTGTGTAAGCTCCTTCACTGGAGGTTTTTCAAAGCAGGCTGAACAGTTACCAGTCTTGGATAGTTTAGACCAGGGGTTCTCACACTGGGGATCATGACACCTCAGTAGGTCTCAAGGTGGTTACATGGTAGTTATGAGCTGTCAGCTCTGAGCTCCCATTAAGTTATCCCCTTTGTTTCTAATGTATAAGGGGAGGGGTCACAGTCAGAGGCTTGCTATACGAAAGGGGTCACCCATACAAAGTTTGAAAACCTCTGGTTTAGACAACAAATCCTGCTCCATGGCAGGGGTTAGACCCGTTGACCTGTATGGCCCCATCTCACCCCGTCGGTGCTAGGATTCCCACACATCCATGCTAGAACTTGACATCTGGCTAGTCGCAGGGCTGTGCCCCTTGTTAAAGGATAAAAGGGGTGCAGGATCAGGCCTGGTACAAAACAGGAGAGTGAGAGTATGGGAGGCATATGAGCAAGCTGGGGAAGCAGGAGCCTCAGAGGGGGGATAGAATCTGAAAGGGAAGATGGGCAAGGACAGAGGGAGAGAGGAAGACAGGAGCAGAGGAATAGTGGCACAGGATCCGGGCAGGGAGGCAGCAGACAGGTTCCCCTGGAGGGGAGGAGGGCAGAAGCAAGGAAATGGAGACAGAATCAGAAGAGAGCGTTGTGGGGGAACGTAATATGCTAACTGCTCCGCCAGCTGGGGACCCCTTTCATAGCAGCCCGGCCAAACTTTTCTTGTCTAAGACAAGGAGGCTTGTTTCTTCGGATGAATTCAATATCAATTAGTCTTGCATGTGCCCTTTTCCATCACGAGCGCACCAATTCCACATTAGGGCCGGCAGCCTCTCACTGATTTTTGCAAGGCTGTCACCGAAATTGCATTACGTTGCACTTTGCTGAGGAACTTAGGTGGCCCCCATTACCAGAGTTTCTCGGCATCTTCCACCACCCAAGAAAGGGCAGTTCCTGAAATCGATTCACATGCTCCTCTTTCATAGCCACAAGACAAGGATCTTCAGCCACAGAAAAAATTCCTCATCCCAGACCCTAATAGCCTTCAACTTGCTGCTCTGTCCAGCCCTCTTGGAGTACCAAACAATCCCAAATGTATTTATCTGGGTGCCTGGGACTGCAGTCGTGGGCTACTGCCCTTGTGCTAGGCATTATACAAAGACGTTTGTTCCTTAGCCCTCATAATGGTCCTGTCCTCACTCCTCAGCACAGATTAGTGAGTGGGCCGTGTGAGTGGCCCTCTACCTCAGTGGGCTGCAAAACTGTCGTAACCAAGACAGTCTCCTGGGATAGGGTAGTGTGGCTCACTGTGCTGGCATACCTAGAATTTACGGGATGTGCCGACTGAACTGCAGCAGCGCTGTGATTGGCTGCAGAGTCTGGCTCACAGTCAGCATCGCGTGCAGTCAGCCCGTACCTCATTTCACGCACCCTTGCTTTAAGCACGTGTCTCTTCAGTAATACCGGTAGGAAAAGAACTACGCAGACGATAAGCAGCAGAACCCTGCACATGCGCAACGGTAACAAACGGTCTCGTGGGCCACCCACCACGAGGCCCTCAGGCTGCCCACCACTGCTGTAGATCATCACTTGTTTGAGCCATGTCTAAGCCCTGCTCTACTGGAGGGTTTTGAACACTGGTGCAAGCCACGGTTAACACCAGTGTAGCTTACTTGCATCAGGCATTTGCACTGGATCAGCTACATTAGTGCAGCTGAGTGCCAGCGACCCCAGTGTAGACAAGACCCAAACCTGCTTACTTGATTGAATGTATTTCCGCGGTAGGGTCTCTACTGAGGGAAAGAAATCATCTAAGGGTTTGTTTTGTGTAGGGGTTTTCCTTTCACCCTGTTTTCGTTTGGGGACAGTAAATGGTGCACTGCCATCTAGGGGCAGAAGAAAGCAAATGCACCGAAACACAGGTCACGCTTCAAACAAAAGACTGGACCGCCCTGGCCTGGCACCCTTGGCACCTGACGGAGCCCAAAACAGGAAATCTGCTGGGCCCTCTGCTGCCAACACCTGCAGGGCTCTGCTCTGGCTGCAGCAGAGGGGCCAGTGTTGGCCGCGTGGGGGATGCTCCGGGGAAGAGGCAGGGTGGCTGTAAAGCACTACTGCTGGGGGGTAAGAGCGCAGCCCCTGAGAGAGCATCGAGGCTCCAGGCCGCCAGCCCTGGGGCTCCGCGGCCACTTGGCCTCTTCCCCGGAGCATCCCCTGTCCCCACTCCTCCACCCTTCCCTGAGCTGAAGTGTTACAAAGGAGCTGTTTGCAGAACTCGGGGTGGGTGGGGCGAATATAGAGCTGCTCAACCCAGCTTAGCCCTGGGAGTGCTCCAACCGGGAAGCCCCCACAGGGATGTTGAACCACAGAAGCCCAGATCACAGGGGTCAAACCTGTATAACTTTATTTATGTATGACAGTCAGCTGCTCTCGCATGCTTCCTCCATAGGGGGCTCACTTTTTAAGACACTTAGGTGACTGTTTTGTAAGAAAGCACTTTCAGCATGAGAAAAGATTTGCCAAGGCCTTTAGAAAGTGGCTGTACCGTGCAATATACTACAACGTATTAGTGTCCAGTGCCTCTCACAGCACTGCAGTATGCACATGGATGCACCCCCACCCACCCCACAGTGTGTGTTCTCCCCAAAACTAGAAATTAGGACTAGAGGCTTAACACAAGTCAATGCTTTAGTGGCTTGATTCAGCCAGGCAGAGGAGTGGGTACGTACATTCAAGCATGCAAGCAGTCCCGCAAGTACTATGTTGAATTGGAGCCTTCGTAAATCCCCTAGCACTTAAGCATGTGCATAAGATCATTGCTGAACATGGGTCAATAAGCTTAAAGTTTTCACAATACTTGCATGTTTTGCTGAATCAGACCCTGAGCATCCAATCCAACCCCCAATAAAATCCATCGTCTACAAAGAGCTCGCTACAGCCTTCAGTGGGCGTTCATCAGGAAGTTCCATCTTAAATTTGTCTCCCTTCCCTCTCCCTCCTACATAACTTATTTATGCTCAGTCACATCTTAAACTTTGAGTCAAGGGCCTGGTCAGTCTAATTAGACCATAGCTCAGCATGTATTGGCCACACTTTTTGGAGTCCTTATTATCAAGGATTTACTTCATCTGTATTCCCCGCAAAAGACAGTATTTTCTACAATTACCCAGCAAGCAGAGGAAGGCCAGGGTGATACAAATGCATCGTGATTATACAGGGTTTTATTTTTCCCCTTAGGTCTTAAATAAAAATGATGCGTCTTTCCCAACATCCACGTACTAGTTTGAGAAGTGTCGGTATAACAGTTCTGACTGCTCTAAGTGGGTTCCTAGTCACCCAGCATAAAAGGAAGTGACAAACACTGAGTGTAATTAAAAGTAATAATCAAAAAGGGACATTCACATCCAGGCTGCCCCCGACTTGCGATGCAATCGGTTCAGGAGATCGTGTCGCAAGTCGGGGGCGTTGTAACTCGAGTCCGCATTTACGACGGGCATCGTACGTCATCATAAATGCCAGGCCGAGGAAGTAAGTCGGAGGGGTTCTGCCCCTTCCGCACTTACGGAAAAGGCCGGAAGTGCCAAGGTCATAACTGGGCCGTCATAAGGCGGGGGCCTCCAGTACTCTAACAGGGCAAGACAAACACACAAGGCCGAAAAGTTCCATCCTTCTTTTGTTTTGTTGTGTCTAGGCAGCTTCTCTGCTCACCGAGGTGGGTGGGGGAACAGAACCTTAGTTACTATGGGTCAATTATTTTGCCCTCAGTTACATGCATGTTACCCTCCCCCTTTCTGGGTACAGTATTTAGAACTAGTAAAAGGCTAACCTTTGAATTTCCTTGATATTGGCAGTAGATTGTCCTACTTCTTTAGTCTGGAGCAAATGCCAGTATCCAATTAATTTGCCTCTCACGGCCACTGATTTATAACAGCAGTGCAGGCTTGCCATTGTTTAAAAAATTTGTTTTGGGTTCAGCTATTATTAATAAACACCAGATAAAAAGCTCAACACGCCAAAACTTGGATGCATTTTAGATCTTGATCTAATCTTATGCTCTGATCTTGAAATAATATTTACTAGTACAATAGGGGCCTTAGCAGACAGTTTTTGTCTCTATCAGACCGAACCAACCCAAAACGTAGGATGTGAAATCCCTCTCTGCTGCCCTTCCTCTCCTCCCACTAACAACAATGGGAAATTGAGCTCTGTAGTCAAGGTTTTTGACTATAAAACTATGTCCTTGCCTGGCACCTTTCGTCAAACACTCTCAAAGGGCTTCAGAAAGAGGAATTAAGCCTTGTGTCACCCCAGTGAGGTAGGTTCGACGGCACAATTACTTTACACAAGGAGAAACTGCGGGCACAATACACAACATGGCATTGTTACAAACAGCTGAGCTTATTGGTCTGGACTCAGAGGATCCGTACTGATGGATGTCTTCTCTTCATCCCCTTCTTTCTACTTCTGTCTCTTATACTGAAACAAACAAACAAACAAACCATGTGTGATGTCAGGGCACAATCAAAATAACCTTTCACACACTGAATGATTCTATTTTGGACCTACCAAGCACTAGCAATCAGGATCACGTGTGTGATCCACATAAGGCTGTCTGAATGCCCGTTAGCCTTCACAGCATGAAATGCCAGGATTTCCCCTCTCGGACACACACAGAATATTGAGTTTTTCTGGAGAGCGATCATGGGTGAATCACATCCTGCTCATGCTGGTGTAAAATGTAGAATAACTCAGCCGAAGCCACTGGCGCTAGACCAGTCTTTGCCAGCTGCTCAGAGCAGGGTTTCCAAACTGGGCTAAAACTTGATGCTGCTGAAATTTTTTAAAATCTATGACTAATACATGGCTCTGCCTGGTGGTGTAGTAAGATGAGGGCCTGAAACATAATCCCATGTATCACAGGTCTGGTGTGAGGCCTGAGCCCTAGGCAACAATGGTGAAGACTTGGCTAATATAAAGCAAAGTGAAGCTGTGAGCAAGAGCAGGCGCTGGCTCATGCAACTTGACACAAACAGGGCTGAGAGTATAACACACCAATTGGTAATAGACACCCGTGTAAAACGGTAAGTGGTACTGAGCATTAGGGATGTAAGGAAGTAGTCAAGTAATCTATAAGCCTAGGCTTACCGGTTAGTCGAGTCGATTACTCGCTCCCCTTCCCCCCCCAGCTTGCTGCCTCTGTATTAGAGGCAGCAATGGGGGGGAAGCAGGAGCCAGTGTAAGGGAGTAAAAGCCAGCTCTCCCCAGCACCATCTCTGCGGTGTCGCCTGCATTCCCCCAGCACTGCTACCTCTATCAGAGGCAGCACCCTGGGGGAGGGGGCGAGGAGAGGTTGCTACAAAGCAGCCTCTGCCCACAGCAGGCCCAGGCTTGCTGCAGGCAGAGGCTGCTCCAGCAGCTTCCCCTGTCCACAGGGGGTCCCAGCAAACCCAGCTCAGTCCCGGCTTGCGCCTGGTCCAGGAGCTACCCCCGCTGAGGCTCTGCATTTTAAACGTAAGAGTTGGGTGGGCAGGCAGCCTGGCTCCTACATTTAAACTGCAGAGCCACAGCAGGGGTAGGTCCTGGACCTGGCGCGAGCCAGAACGGAGCGCCTTCCCTTATCGACTAATCGTGTAGTCAATAAAAAGTCTTATCGACTACACGATTAGTAAAATACCCACTTCTTAACATCCCTTCTCAGCACAGGTTGAAAGCACGTTCTAGAAGGATGGTAACACCACATAGTTAAAAAGGACTCCCCACAGATTCGGACCCAGGTTCAGGAAAGGGTCTAAAATGACAGCATGATGGACAGAGATAATCTACTTGACCCACCAGGTGCAGGGTGATGGGTGGCACCTAAGTAACCTCAGAGGGTGGTAACCTGACACATCAGGAATGATGTATAACTTGTTGTACTTGTGTATAAAGTTGTGTTTTGGAGGGGCTGTCTTTGTCTGGCCTAGGAGGCCGTGGGACCTCTCGCTGACTGAGCTGGTCCATTATTGGGGGTACATATGCGTAGCGGTTCGGTAGAATCTACTGACAACTAGTACTGTACTTTGTTTAGTAAGATGAGAGGGCCTGAAATATGGACCATAGGCCTAGTATAAAGCCTGAGGCTTAGAAACAACAGTCAGTATATTGCCCAAATAAAGCAAAAGATAAGCTATGAGTGAGAAGCAGACTTTGCCAATAAGATTTAATATAAACAAGGTTAAGGATATAAAACACTAAAAGGTGCCAAGCACAGGCAATACACATTCCAAAAAAAATCATAAAAGAACACCTCGTGAAAAAACATGTTGGTGCCAACTTCCTCTGTGCAAACAACAGGAATACTAACCCAGGTTCGGGACTGGGTCTAAACGGACAGCATGATAGATAGTAATTGAATCCCCCTGGTATGAGGTAAAGGGTGGTAACTAACCAACAGGACGTGGCAACCTGAGACGTCAGGAGTGATGTGTAACTTGTTTGTCCCTGCGTATAAAAGTGTACCCCAAAGAGTTGTCTTTGTCCAACAAAGTGGGGCAGTGATGGATTCCCAAGTCACTGATTGAGTCGGTCCATGTGTAGTGGATCAGTAGAGTCTACTGACGACTTGTACTGGACTCCGTTTGACAATAAACTCGGCCGGGCGCCTTCAATCCTTATCGGATTTTGTGGTCTTTGGGGGCTTTCTGCACAAGTAGTCAACACAGCAGACTCCAAAAGTCAACACAACACACAGGAGGAGCACACACATGGAGCCGAATGGTTATCACTACTGATGGAGCAGGAGACTTGTCAGGACACTGCACGGTGACTCCTGACTACTACAGGTATCAACCCTCTTCTGGATTTCAGATAGGGATGTTAAATATCGGTTAATTGAATAGTTGAGTAACCTCATGAATTCTTATCAGTTAGTCAACTATTCTATAGTGGGGGGGGGAGAGGGAAGGCTGGCAGCCAGTGTACTCCAGCCTCCCTCTCCTGAGTAGTCCCCTGCCACTCCACGCGGGGTGCCAGGCGGAAGCTGGTTCGCAAGGAGAGCCAGTTTAAAAACCAGCTCCCCTCATGGACCACCTGCTGTCGCCCTGTGCTGCTGCCTCTAATACAGAGGCAGCAGTGCAGGGTGGCAGCAGCCCCTGTCTGGGTCAGGGAAATGAGTGTAGTCTGTAGCATTAAGCTATAAGCTTTTGCTTATCGGATAATCAGTTAATTGACTACACTATTACATCCCTAATTTCAGAGTGACTTTCCCGCCTTCCTCCTCCACGATGACTTTTAATTGACTAAGCAGATTTTTAAAGGCAGCTGAATGTTTAACTCCTTTTGTTCCATGTTTGCAGCTATAGAATACTTCCTAGTCAGACATGCGTACAGTGAAACAGCAGTGTATGACTTGTCGCCCAGCAGGCCAGAAGGAATCGATCTTAGGAATCAACCTTTCAAGACAAGTTTTCTTGTGCTGGCTGCAAGGAGACAGGCCTCATCCGGAGCCTTGGCTGCACAGACAACTGGGGGAAAAGCTCTCATTGCTGTGCCAACGCAGCTGCAGTGGCGATACCTAGGATAGGGGTCCTAGGGTTCTCTCCACGGTGTCTCCTAATCCTGATCTTACAGCACAGGCAGGCTTGTGAGATGAGCATTCTGGGAGGTTAGTATGGATGGTTAGCAGCAGGGAGGGAGGGGAGTTGTTTTGCCTCAGTGTTGAGCCATGGGATAAACTGGGGTTCTCATCTATATTAAATATTTGACATTGATGCAAATACACTAGTTGCTGAAATCTGAAGCAACTGCCAATGTAAAAAAGCCTCAGACAGGACAGAAGTTTACTGTCCTGAGGTGAGAACATGCACTTGCAAAAGCCTTATGATTCGTTGAGTTTATAGTTTTGGTTTTTCTGCCAGCAGAGAGCTGTTAAAATAATCATTCCAACTCATGTGTATTACACAAATCCTTTCTGATAGAGATCTCAAATCGCACTGCAGAGGGATTCACACATTTGTTTTTCAGCATCCCTGCTCTTGTACTGGAGTAGCTCTAAACAAGACACAGACAACTTGATGGGGAGAAATGTAGTTGCACTTACTTTATTCATGACCCAGTCAGCATCTTCAATAGCTCTCTTAATTATCTGCTGGATTCTCTCAGGACTGTCTTCATCTGCATGAACTCTGAAACTCTGCAGGGTTTGAGCAGAGTGTGAAAAGGAGTAACTCAGTTAATGAAACAGCTGTTCAGCTCCTGCAAACATAAGGATCAGTTTAAAATCCTGAAATAAACACTCGATTAAAAATATATGCAATTTGAAGAGGTAGAAATGAGCTTTGTTCAAAAGGGATTGCACTGAACGTCCTTTCTGGCCTTGTCTACAATGGCACACTGTGTTGCCAAAAATTGCCTTTGGGTGACAAAAGAATGCGCGTTTACACTGCAATACGACTTTTGTTGGGAAAACACATCCACTTTTGGCAACAAAAATCTTCCAGCCCCGAGAGAGACTTTTTTTCTTTTCTCCTCCCTTTATTGTTGACCAAGAACCAGCGTAGACTCTGCTTTCGTTTTATCAAGAGAATGGGCTTCTGCCAGTATCCCACAATTGCTGTGCTCAGTGTTTTGCGATCTCTGCTGCCCTGCAGGCATGCACCGCCTCCCCTTTCAAAACTCTGGGCAATATCTGGCAGCTGAGTGAGCTGCTCCATTTAGGGAACAAACAAAGAGCAAATCATTGGGATGCTTCTGTTCTGCCTTGCTAAAAACACAGGTGCAGGTACACTGCTGCTGCAGGAGAAGGGCTGGAGAGACTGTGGTGCTGCTTTTAACATTTCTCAGCCCAGAGAGCTCACAGAACTATGCGGGAATCCCAGGAAGCGCAGGTGTCAGCTCTGCCTTTCCACAACGCTGCACTGTGGGATGTTTACCCACACTGCTTTGCTCTGTCAACAGGGGTGTTAGCACCGTGGCCAGGAAATGTTGACAATGGGAGGCAGAAAAAAATAGTTTGACAGGTTTTCACTTTCGGTGACTTTTGCATGTCAGCACTTTCATAGCCAAACCTTCCCAGCATAAACATAGCCTCACATTCACTATTCTAACCCTTAAGCAACAGGGAGTCTTGCAGAAGTTTGTGCTAATAAGAGCCAGGTGGTAGGGGCCCTGATTCAGGACAGCACTTCAGCACATGCCTATATTCCACTAGATTCAATGGGACTTGGGCTCAAGAAGTGTCTTGACTAGAAGTGCTTTCTGTAATTGGGGCCTGAGTTAAGATAGCTTTAAAAATCTGGACCACTTGTGATAGTTCAACACAACCAGATATATTGGGAGCACAAATAGTTCCATGTGCTCACACACTAGCCATGCTGACTTATGTTAAGGCAGGCATGTCCAAAGTCCGGCCCGCGGGCCAACTGCAGCCCGTGTTCCGGTTTAATACGGCCCCACAGGTAATTTGGCAATATCTATCTTTTATGGCCCCCAACGAATCCCCGAGCGCCGCTCAGGACTAAGGATGAGCTCGGGCGTGTTCGCAGCTCCATGTAGTCCGCAGCTGCAGAGATCGGGAAATGTCTCAGTACCTGTGATTGGCGCTGCGCGCTGTCAGCTTCCTGGCGGGCTCGGGCATGTGGAGCTTTGAACACGCCCGAGCTCATCCTTAGACTCTTCACCACACACAGCCACAAAGGCAAGAGAATTCTTGCTGGGCAGTGTATTAGTGCTCGGATGAACACACTTAGACCAAAACCTCGGGCACTGCGCTCACATGATCTCTTCCCCTTCTGGTCTATTTAAAAAATGGCGACTGTAAATAAGAGAAGGAAAGTTGACAGTGAGGGCCGCTGCTTCCAGGACAGGTGGAAAGTGGAATATTTCTTCATTGAAATACAGAATCACTGTGTTTGTCTGATATGCCAAGAGACTGTGGCTGTTTATAAGGAATTTAATGTCAAGAGACACTACCAGTCGAGACATAGCACATACGACAAGCTAACAGGGCGCAACCGCAGTGAAAAGTTGAAGCATCTTGAAGCTGTTTTAATGTCACAACAGCGATTTTTCACAAGAGCCCGTGAATCAAATGAAAATGCCACAAGGGCGAGCTATGAGGTGGCAACGTTAATTGCTAAAAATTGCAAATCTTTTGCTGAGGGTGACTTTATCAAAGAATGCGTTATGAAAATGGTTGAGAATATCTGTCCCGAGAAGAAGCAAGAGTTTGCCAACATTTGCCTGGCTCGTAACACTGTAGCACGGAGAATTGAAGAGATTTAATCAGATATTAAGAGACAGTTGACGTCCAAAGGAGTGGATTTTGACTTCTTTTCAATAGCCTGTGATGAAAGCACGGACCTATCTGACACAGCTCAGTTGCTGATTTTTATGAGAGGGGTGGACGATGAAATGAATGTGACTGAAGAGCTACTTGACCTCCAGAGCCTTACGGACCAAACAAGAGGAAAAGATTTATTTGTTTCTGTTAGTTCCGCCATAGATGACATGAAACTGCCTTGGAACAAAGTTACTGGGATTATTACTGATGGGGCACCTGCCATGGCTGGTGAACGAAGTGGATTATCAACCCTAATCTGTAACAAGGTGATCGAAGAAGGAGGCAAAGCTATTAAACTCCATTGTATCATTCATCAACAAGTTCTCTGTGCTAAACATCTCAAATATGATCATGTTATGAAACCGGTGCAGTTTTGTACTTTGTAGTGATAGTGTTTTGGTATGAGTGAAGAATGTATGTGTTAATTAGATAAGTGTGAAGGTCATTTCTAGGTGCAGATGTACCAAGAGGGAGCAGGGATCTCAAAGGCACTGGAAGGTTACGTATATTATCCAGTCATTATAGCAAATCAACAAGCCTAGAGGTGAAGCAAGAGCCCCAAACCCTTAGGAACAAACAAGAAAGATAAAATCTCCAGGGGACAACTCTCTAAAAGCACAAATGTTCAAAAAACAAGAAAACAACTTAAAAATGAACACTTATGTAAATAATTGGTTGCAATTTAGGTTAGTCTGAACCTCTGATGGGTAACTATAACATTGTTGGTAGGACAGACAGAAAGAGAGAGAACGAGAGCAAGAAAGAGAGAAAGCGTGCACGTGTGCTGATTTCTGTATTATGTCCTCAATGAACACAGAGCATTACCTTTTCTCTAAAAAGAACTTGTGTGCTTCTTATAAGCAAAAGAACAGAGGGTATTGTGGGATACCTCTTGGAGGTCAGTTACTGCAGTGTAACAAATGTGGTGTCTACACTGATTCTTTGTCAATATAACTTAGCTGGAAAAGGTTTTACAACTCTTATTGAGGTAGTTTTATTTTGATAGCAAAGCAGGAAAGTTTTGTGAGCGGAAGGACCACTGCAGTGTGTACACCTCCACTGTTTGGCAACAGAACAGCATAGTATTCACAAGGCCTAAACCTTTGCCTACAGGACATGGCTTTGGAAGAGCTGTACCAGCAAGTCATGGGCATAGCTTATACCTGCCAGTGTGTGTGTTTGCTGGTATTGCTTATATATGTTTCCCAGACAAAATATGCTATGCCAGCAAAAACATTTTTGATGATCTAAGGCAGGCATGTCCAAAGTCTGGCCCGCGGGTCAATTGCGGCCCGTGTTCCGGTTTAATACGGCCCCACGGGTAATTTGGCAATATCTATCTTTTATGGCCCCCAACGAATCCATATGTATTGAGATGAATACATTGTAAAATCTCAGTTAAAGTCAGTTGGTCTAAATCAGTTATAAATATATTTGGACACAACATGTATACTTGGTGTTATGTTCCTGTTCATATTTTTTGAACTTAAAAGTTGACAGACAACCTTTATTACCAATAATATGTAATGTACTTTACAATGTTCCTGACATATATTTCAGCTTCCTGGATTTTTTTTTCATCTGGCCTTCAGATATGAAAGGCAGAGTGATTTAACACCTGTTTAGATTTGTCATCCATGTGACGAAATGAAAAGTATGCCGTTTGCAATAAACTTTGCATAAAATAGTTAATTTGCATTTAATTTTAATGGTTCAAAGAATGTCAGGCAAAATGGTCGGCCCTCACGCATGTTCACTTCATCAAATCTGGCCCTCTTTGAAAAAAGTTTGGACACCCCTGTGTTAAGGACTCACACGTTCCAGCACAGATCCCAGAAGTGGTGCATTCTGGGAGATTTTAAAAGGCCACCCAGCACATTCACGAACAAGACTGTCTGACAGAGCTGACTCCGATAGCGGGAGACTAGACTCAATATCTCTGCCAGTCCTATGCCCCTTTGTACTGTGGGACAGTAAGGGGACAACTCATTAATCCACTTCAGCTAGTTTGTATCCACTAAAGCAATTCAGACGGAAACAGTGTATAGCCCTGCAAAAAGGCTACACATTGTGCGCAAAAGTCTATTTGCCACCATGTGAATCATTTGTTCAAAGCTGGCACGCCTGCGTGCAGCCCAGAGTCACTGCGACTTCCTGCTGGCCCTGGGCTGAACACGGAGTTCCACATTCCCAGCGGGGGCTCTTGTACATTTCAAAGGAGGAATGCGGAAGCGCTTATTGACTAGTCTAGTAGTCGATGGACTATGCGACGAATCCATCGACTATTCGACCAGTAAAATAACTAATATTTAACATCCCTATTTTGACTAGCATAAAGAAGGCTTGAGTGAACCGCAGAGAGTAAACATGGCAACAGTGATGGAAAAGATTTTAAAAGTTTAACATGCTCTTAGTAAAACATGCAAAGAAACTTGGTTTTTAATTGTATGATTCTTTTAACCTGATTTTGTGTTTTCCACTGGCTCGAAGAGAATTCTTTCAATGCTCATCGTTAATTTATTACAAATAGCCTCAATAATAGCCTTTAATAATCCAAATAAATGGGGAAACGACTTTTCCCATTACCAAAGACAGCTTCTCTTACCTGTCTGATTGCATGTCTGTAATGCTGTTGGATATTTTCTGCAGGAAGCTCCTTACAACATCGAAGCAGGTAGCGGTACAACTGCAAAGGCTTCTGGACTAATTCCGCCCCCAGTAACGGAGCCATTGTCATGTTAAGCTTTCAAGCTGCTAAAACAAACAAAATGTATTTCACAAACCTGGGAAATGCACGCTGCAGAAGTAAAATTAGCCTTGAGTTTTAAAAGAGCCCCACTGTTGGCAAGCTTAAAACCAGAAGCAATCTGAGCAGTTTGCAGGAACATGCAGGTTTAGTATCATCTGTCTTAATTATGCTTTGAACATCCATCCCTGAATCTTCCAGCGCTTTATATAAATATCCCCATAGGATTAGGAGCAAATGAGGCATGAACTGGTTAAGGTACGATTGAGAAATTGTTTATTTGAAGATTTTAGGGCAGATGGGGTTAAGTGTCATTTATATTTATACATCTGATTAAAGTGCGTGAGAGTGGATGGCTGGGTGTACATATCCCCCACAGCATACAAACCCTCTCCCCCCTCATCCTTTGTAAATCACTTGTGTCAGGGACTGATCTTGATATTGGGGAACTATTCACATCGTGTACATCTTTGCAGGGATGGGGCATTCAAATGTACAAACGCAAACCCCAAAGAGTTGAACTGTTTGTAATCAGCAGAATAAGGCCACTAGCTGAGTGCTACTATATCCTCATGCAGTGGGCCAGTATGGAAGAACACATCTTAGCCTTTGCCCCAGTGGTCTGATCTATAGGACCTGACCTCTGTGTCCAGACTGCCCCTCTCCCCCCTGCGTTTAGTGAGACTCCACATGGGCACATACAGCTGATACTTCAGAATCAGGGTCTTAAGTTATTGCTGTAAAGTTACATGAGCTGGGCTACAGTTCCTAAGGCTCTAATAGTTTCAAGAGTAAGAGGCGAAAACTGGCTTGCAAGCTTCACATACCACCTTTTTAACAACCTGTGTCAACACAACAGGCCTCTCGCAAAAACAGGAATAGCTTTGAGACTCTCCATGAACATAACAGTGACAGGAAAAGAACAAAATCTACCAGCTGTCCCCCCACCAGTACACTTGTATATTGTAACCAAAAGTCCATCTAAGCTACATCAAGTGCTAATCAGATATTTTACATTACCAGTCATTTAACAGATGGTTGCCATCTGTGGAAATCTAAATTAACATTTTGGAGAAAATAGTTTTTATATCATTACTCATCAGAGTCAAGAAATACATAACTAAATAAGCAAGTAGGTGTGATATAATTTTAGCGTCAATTAAGAGTATTTAGCCTTCATAAGATCCTTTTATGGATTTTCTAAACACAATGTCCTTGGGCCAAATTCTCATGGGAGTGTAACACTATTAACTTTCAGCAGGTGCTGGCTAATGACCTCCAGTCCTAGCAGCTCTTGTATTTTGCTGCTCCACTGCAGCAACCTCATCTTCAGGAAAAAATCGTGCTCTTAGGTTAAGTGTCTCACAACAGCATGATAAGTGATTAGTGACACTATTGGCGTGTAAAACTATGCGCGACAGCCCTTGATGGAGGCGAGTTTCAGTTTTAAATCACTCGCCTCACTGAACCAAGACCCTGCCTCTCAGCAAATACACAGCTGTCCGGTACTGCATCTTTGGGCTAGAGCAGGGTTTCGCAACCTACAGGTCGCCATTACGTTTCAAAAGAGTCGCCAAGTGTCTCCCCAGGGGGCTCTGCCCCCTCTACTCCCCCCGTTTTTGAATTGCCTTGGGTCACCAAGTCTTCCTGAATTGTCAGAAGGGGTCCCCATCTGGAAAAGGTTGGGAACCGCTGGGCTACAGCCTTCAAACAGGTCCTGAAGGGTCTTCCTTTGCCCCTCAAATGCCCTTCCACTTTACCACTGGTGCAGCTACTACTTGGGGAAAGTCCTGAACTCCGGGGGGAGGAGGGGTGTGCACGTTAAACCCCGTGCCCGCAGGGCCAGTTAACTGCTTACACATACAGTTGAACCGGTTAACATTTTAAGCAGAATTTTACACCCCTAGACGATATCTAGGGCCTAGTCCAAACGTAGGGGCATGAGCGGGGCTAGTTTCCTTCTGCGTCTGGACTGGCCCTGTCCCCGCCAGGGCAGGGCGGGTCCCCACTGCGGGGTCTCGGGGGTGGGCTGCGCTTCGGGCTGAGATGGGCGCTGCCCTGCAGCGGTGCCGGCCGGACTCACCCAGCCAGGCCCTGCCCCCAGGGCGCGTGTAAAGCCCCCGGGCTGCGCC